TGAAGCAGGCTCCAGGCTCTGAGCTGTCAACACAGAGCCCAACACAGGTTTGAACACATGAACTGTGAGATCACGACCTGAGCCAAAGTTGGTTGCTTAACTGACTGAGCCAGCCAGGTGCCCAGACTCTTCTTTCTTAAAGTAGACTCATCAGGTACCTATGTGGTTCAGTCTGTTGATTTCAGCTCAGGTCATGATTTTATGTTTGTGGGATCCAGCCCTGCATCAGGCATTGACATCAGACACTGACAATGCTCCCAAGGAGCCTGCTTGGGATTCTCTTTCTCTCTGTCTCTCTCTATCTTTCTCTGCCTCTCCCCTACTCATGCTCTCTCTCTTTCCAAATAAGTAAACTTTAAAAAAATAAGAGGCGACTCATAAATTTCTCTCTTGATTTATCAAGTATTTTCCAACTGTGAATTAATTCTTCCCTTTTCTTGAAACTGTTCTTTCTAAGCTTCCTTGCCTTAGACCTGCACCTTCATCTTTTCCTGTGTCCTTTATTTGCTACTGTTCTCCCTACCCTCTAAGCAACAACAAAAATTCCCTCAGAATAGGGAGTCAAGAGCTCTTTTTGCTTCTCTCTTCACACTTTCTTTGGGTAATATCATATATTCACATGACTCGGCAGTTAGTCCATCAGCCAGTAGATTCTCAAATTCTCTCAAGCTTTAACTTGCATTTCCATCTTCCTCCTTAATACCTCTATCAGAATTATTTGAAAAATCAGACCCTCCTCTTTGTTCTTTTCTTTTCAACAATGACATCAATGATCTTAGTTATCTAGGTCAAAATCACCCAGTTATCTGTGACCCTGCTTTCTCTTTAAACCCTCATGGGCAGTCAGTTGCTTATTCCCATACATTCTATCTGTGTATTTTCTCTTCCGACCTTTCTGCCCCAGTATTACACTATTACAGATCCTAATCTCAGCCTGAACAGCGATGGTAGCCCCTAATTTATTTATTCACATTCTGTCAATTGCCACTACAATCCATCCTGCTCTCAGATGGCTTTGATCAAATTGCTGCTCCTTTGTAATCATTAGTGGCTCCCTTTTGCCTCCTTCCGGAAGGATCCTGCATATTAATGCCCCAAACCAATGTATCCAGTTAAATCTCACTGCTTGCTTACACATCCTCTATGTTCATTTTTTGAAATGTTTATAATGTTTATTCATTTTTGAAAGACAAAGAGAGACAGAATGTGAGCAGGGGAGGGGCAGGGAGAGAGCAGGAGACACAGAATCTGAAGTAGGCTCGAGGCTCTGAGCACAGGGCCCGACAAGGGGCTTAAACTCACGAATCATGAGATCCTAACCTGAACCAAAGTCAGACACTTGACCAACTGAGCCACTTAGGTGCCCCGATGTACTCTGTGTTCTAACCAAACTCAATTAATATTTCCCAGACATGCCTAGTATTTTGAGGGGAGACCTTCAATTAATTCCCCGTTCTGTCTGTCACCTATCAGTGGTTAGTGCTGCCCACCACGGTCTTAAGTTTTCTCTACCCAGGTCTGTGCGTTTTTCCTAAAAAAGACAGTAAACCCTGAGGCACGCTTAGGGTATGTGACAAGAGAAATACCATCTTTTAAGGCCCATAAAGGTTTCCTTGATTTCTCCATGACTTCACATAGTTGGTCGCTTCTTTACACTTGATCCTTCATTGTTCCACCCTTGTGTGTATGTTTTTATGGTGCTTATTTTACTCTAATTCATAAAAGCCCATGCCTAGTTTCATTTCTATCTTTCCTTCATGAGATTTTAAACTCTTCCAGAGCAGAAAAGTTGTCCTACTCATCTTTGGGGCTTGCTGTACCTAACCTGCAGCTTACACATGCAAATGCTTAAGAAATTTTTTTGAATCTGGGGTGCCTGGATGGTTCAGTTGACTAAGTGTCTGATTCTTGGTTTTGGCTCAGGTCTTGACCTTGACCTTTGTGAGTTTGAGCCCCGCATCAAACTCATGCATCAAACCACATGGGATTCTCTCCCTCTCCTTCTCTCTCTGCCCCTCCCTGCTCATGCTCTCTCTCTCTCTCAAATAAATAAATAAATAAGCTTAAAAAAAAAAAAGAAATGTTTTTGAATCAAAATTTATGAGAATTCCCTTCAACTACCTTTTTGAAGTTTCATTAGATACATTTAATAGCTGAAGACTGAAAATGAGATAATCTTGCCAATGACCTAGTACTTGGTCCTACGTTTGCAAAAACTGGGATAAAGAAAGTCTTGGTTTGAGTCAATGGTTAAATCAAGAGTTCTTTCAAAGGACTTTTAAAAATTCTTGTTAGTAATGTAACAGATGACATTCTTTCTCCTAAGTCAGTCTGTTTAAAACTCCCAGATGGAACGCTGGAGCATGCAGCAGTGAAATGAGCAACAGGATTACCCTGAGGAATCTTTTTGGTAAAAGTGGGACTCTATCCTGAGCATCCTGGCTGAATTTTAAATTCAGCTACTCTATTCTGCCTACTGAAAATGACTCTGGGGCTTTGAGAGACTGGTTATCCTGCTCCAATGCAAACCCAGGGTTGTTGTGTTTGCTTTCTGAGCTGTTACATTGTGCCCATATTCTACCGAAGGTGGAATAAAAAGCTGATTTTTATTACAGATATCAAACTAGTGCCTGATGTTACCAAATGACAGGACTCAGACATGAAGAGCTTGCTGCCCTACCTCTCAAAGAAACATTTATTGTGTCCTTAAAATGACTAGGTCTCAACGGCTCTACAAAGTAAATACACTATGACGTTTACTTATTGAATTATGTAAAGACAGAAAATAGGGAAAAAACGTTCTAATAGAAAAAAAGTCGACAATGGAACTTGCCTCAGTGCTTTGTGTAATTGACCTCAGATTTCAAGAAGCAAAGTGAGTTAATCTCTGCTCCACCCTACTTTCTTAGATTAGAGAGCTGTGGTGTCCCACCTAGTGTGGATTTAAGGTAAAAGAAAAATAAATAAATAATCGAGAAATCGGTCAAAGGAAAAATAGACAATGTCTTAAAATCTTAGGGAGGCTGAAAGCAAGTTGGCAGGGTGTTAATCCCTCCGGATACACCTTCCTTCCATTTCCTGGGCCATTTCCACTGCAGGCTAATCTTCAGCAAAAACTGAACCACATCGGGATCGGGATGAGTCGCTCATTTTAAATCAGAACCCTCCCTTAGGCGATCTACTCCTAGCCACTGACTCTGGGTGTTACAGGCCAGGAGCCAGGAGCCGGCTCTGAGCGGGAAGAGCAGCGCGAGATTAGGTCGATCTCCATGGAGGTAGCCCCAGAGGCCTGGGGCCAGGGATGTGGCAGCTCAATGGCGGCAGGGGGCACTGCAAAACCTCGGTCTCTTCACGAAGCGGGTTAGCCGTCCTATCCCACCCAGACGACTAGTGCTGCCCACCACGTCTGACCCCAAGCTCTCTCTACCTAGGTCTGTGCGTTTTTCCTAAAAACGACAGCAACCCCCGTGGCATGCTCACGGTGTGTGACAAGAGAAATACCATGGGCCCTATACAACTAAGCACTTTCCTTTCCATCCTCTCTGCGTCTCGTAGCTCCTAAGGATGTCTCCAAGATCTGGAAATTAAGAAAAGTTGCTCTTTCTCACGCACTACTGTGCCGACTTTTACCTTCCTTTAAAGAGAAGCCAGCTGCTGACCCGAGTCGCCTGGGAACCGCAGCCAAAGTTGTCATTAAAGAGCTACTGCGGCTGCCCTGCGCCCACTCTTCCCTGGGATTTGACTTCAGTATGCCCCCCACTGTGAATGGACCCTCGAAAACCAGGGAGCCCAGGCACACCTACCCCCACGCACCTTCCCTTCCTTTCCCCACTGCGCTAGCCGGGCCTCAGACGGCAGAGAGCGTCGCGGGGTACCGGGCTCCCAGGGTGGTTCCGCGCTGAGAAGCTGGGTGGGGGGAGGTCGGAGTTCGAGGGCGCGCCTGGGTCTGTGCACACCTTCCCGTCCTTTGCCCTCGTGGGGTCAGCTCGGGGTGCACTTGCCGAGGGGGGTCCCAGCCTATGGGGCAGTAGTGCGTGTGTAGGAGAGGACGTGTCTCTGCAGGAAAGCGAGTCTGGCGTCCGCTGTGTCGGTCCACGCGGCCGCTCCGCGCGCTGGAGCCGGGACGGAGACCCAGCCGCGCCTCTGGCGGCCCCCGAGTCCCTCCACAAAGCAGAGCCAAGACGACGAGCTCCCAACTGGGGTCTGCACCCCTAAATCGACCCGAATGGAACTGCCGCGCCGGGCGGGGAGGTGTCTGGCGGTCCCAGGCACCTGGCGGGGCGGCCGGGAGGGCGCCTTCCCACCACCCCCCCCCCCCCCCCCCCCCCCCCCCCCCGCCGGGCACTGCCTCCCCAGGCGCGGGCCGCGGGCCGGCCGGGTACTCACATGTCCAGCCCCGGGGAGAAGCCCTGCGGGCAGTAGCTGTGCGCTTCCCGCGGTGAGGGCGCCGAGCGCGGCTCCAGCCCCCCGTTGACGCCCCTCCAGCCCCGCCGGCGGCGCTGCGGCTCTGAGCCTTCGTCCTCACCCTCCTCCTCCTCCTCCTCCTCCTCTGGCGCGGGGAAGGTCACCCGCGCTTGCTCCTTGCACTTCCTGACCTTGGTGGACATCGCGCCCGCCGCCGCCGCCGCGCGGTCTGGCCGCGGCGCCCCTGCAGCACCGCCGGCCGCTCCGGCCGCCCCGGGCAGCCCCGGCGGCAAGTCCGCGGGAGAGAGCGGCGCGCGCGGACGCCGAGCGGGCAGAGGCGGGAACCAAAACCCAGCCGCCGCCGCCGCCCACCAGGAAACCGTGGGAGCGGCCGCCGCGGCTGTGGCCGCGACGAGGGGGCCCGGGACCGGGTGGGGCGCGCGCGCTGGGAACGGCTCTCCCGCCCGGCGGCGGTGGCGGCGGCGGCGGCGGTGCCTCCTCCGAGCCCGGCTCCCGTCTCCGACAGCATCACTTGCTAGGACACTAACGTTACTCTGGGTGAAGGACAGAGAGGGAGGGAGGGGAGAGGGAGGGAGAGAAGGGGGGAGAATCGATTCCTAATCGGACAGAGAGAGCTGAGAGGAAGCCAGATCAGCAGGTAGGGAGTGAGGAAATCAGAATAAGTTCCCTCCCTATTCTCCCATTTCTCTGCCAGAGGATTTAGAGCCCTTTTCCATTTACAGATGCAGGTTTCCTAAGGGAACGAAAAGGGACTCATCTGGCTTGCTGTTAATTTTTCTGCAGTCGTATTTACCCAGTTCAATTCCAGTTTTTTTCAACAAGCATCACTTGTTGAAACAATTCTAAACCTTAGTTGAACCTACAGAGATTTACATTTCCTTGAGTGCCTTTTTACCCCAAGAACGGTAATGTGTAAACGTGCATGGTGCTTCAGATTTGTTTGTTTTTTAAATGAATCTCAAGACCATCTAACAAGATTGATACACTTTCCAAGAAATGTTAAGCAAAATTTAAAATCTTCTCTTGAAAAGTTAAATAGTAATACTAAATAAAACTGAAAATATAATTTTAAAAGTCAAAAGTGGTGTTTATTTTCTGGGAGAAAAGACTCATGGAATTATAGTCAAAAGGACTGTTAAGGATCAAAGAATTTATCCCTTGTTTTAGAAGTAAGAAAACTGAGGCCTACAAAGACTGAGCAAACTAGTCAAAGTAGGTAGTTTAGTGAGAAAACTCGATTAGACTGAGGCGAGTGTACTTTCCAAGGCTCGCTATTGCCTTAAATATGCAGCTTTCAATCAAGTCCAACTTGGAAGAATTACAAAAATACCAGACATGCTATGATGAGATAAAATAAGATTCATTTTTAACTGTATCCCATTTACTGTATTTTTTGAGAAGCAATTCTTCCCCACATTAACTAAAAACACAAATAAGGAAGTGTGGCTCTTTTGAATTTAATCCTTAAAAAGTAAATATAACATTGTATGTTTTATTAAGTTAATAACAAACCTATGTTTAAGGAAGGAAAAATATTTATTTGTACATCTGAGGCAGAAAATACAAGTGTATATTGTCTAATGCTTTACAGTTGGAAGCACCTTTCTCATATGAGCACATGTAGAAATGGAAGTGTGCAAATTTTCACAGTGTAAATCCCATCTCTGAAATATCCCATAAGCAGGACGGCTCTCTGCACCCCAGTACCAGTGCCTCAGTTCAGGCTCCCATCTACCTCCCTGCTCTCTGTATGCAGCCTACCTCTCTTCATACCATTTCATTCTCACGCTATTACACAGACCATGATACAGCAAGTCTGATCGTGACTTGTCTCTGAAAAAGTCTCTGGTGGCTTCCCACTGCTTTCAGGTTAAAATCCAAATTTGGCATGCCCAGCCCTTTGTGGTCTGACCCTATTTCTTCACTCTCTCCTCGAATCCTCCCTCATACACAACCTAGCTCCAGTTACCCTGGATATCTCACTCATCAGCCCACATTCTAGACACTTCTCATTCCCCTGCTTTTGTCTGTGGTACTCCTGTCACTAATAGGCCTCTCTTCCCTTGTGCACCTGGCATACTTCTACTTTTTCCTAAAGACTTAGGTTAGATTTGACCTCCAATCAGATGCCCTTTCTACATCCCAGGGAAGTTCTCACAGCCCTTCTGCCTACCACCGTCTTACCACTGGTCACTTTGTTATTGAAATTAACTCTTTCTGTGCCTGTCTTCTCTTTAGACAGAATTCATTGAGGATGTTTTGGGGTCTTATTTACTTTGAGCCACTTGGAGGCTTATCTTTTTGTCTTTGTCACTAGGCTGGACAAGCTCAACAATTGTTTGTTGAATTAACTCGTGAAGTCTACAGGATCTTTATAATTATGTACACAAGTTCATGAACTGCTCTTATGAGGCTCTGGAGAGAAGCACGTCAGGAATGCCCAAGTCACCAGGGTTTACTCTTATGTACTATGTTAGTTTGCTAGGGCTGCCATAACAAAGTATCACAGACTGGGTAAAAAATGATTTTCTGACAATTCTGGGGGCTTGAAGTCCAAGATCAAGATGTTGACAGCGTTGTTTTCCTCTGACAGATTGCAGATGATCATCTTACCCTGTGTTCTTCCTTCTGTGTCTCCTAATCTCTTATAAGGATACCAGTCATTAGGGCTAGGGCCCACCCTAATGACCTCACTTTTAACTTAATTACCTTTTTAAAGGTTCTGTCTTCAAATAGACATCCAGAGGTATTGGGGACTAGGACTTCAACATATGAATTTGTGGGGGGGGAGGGGTGGCAAATTTTATCTCGTAGCATAAACTAATTCTCCTGGTCTGAGGAAACTGCTCTTTCCAGAGTCTGCTAACATTTTTATTTTTAAGAAACATGTCCTTGGAATTGATGAAAACCCAGAGGAGAAGAAATCTGAAGAAAGTAGTTTCTTGAAGAGAGAGGAAATATGGACCTCCCTGGCATAAGACAGCTTTATCTGTCTTATTTCCTTCTTTTGTAAAGGAGGGTCTATCACTGCATATATGTTGTTAGCTGTCTGCGTATTTATGAAATGAGTGTTTGCCTAACATACATTCAGAATCCATTACTCCTTTGGGGGAAAAATCATATTCAATATTCAGAAAATCCAGCTGTTGAGGCACATTATTTTCAAGAAGAGGTGGCCACTAAGGCATAAGTAAAGCATAATCTTCATGATAAGTCCAAATAAATTAAAAGTGATTGTTAACCTTAGAGCAGAAGTTGGCCTCTAAATTTCCTCTTAAATATCTAAGACAATGCTGTATCCTTTTTAAAATCTATTTCACACATTATGGAAGGCTCCTGTTCACTGCTTCTTTCCCTCTCCCTCTCTCTCCCTTTTTCTAGGGCTGTCTGTAACACACCTAATAAGAAGACACTGTTGCGCAGTAATTCTTGCACTCCAGGATAAAGGTTAGCAATTTTCTCAAGGGAGCAAGAGCATGGGAATAGGTATAATGTTCTAAACAGTGCACATTTTTTCCTCCTTAAGAACACAAGTTCTCTTATAAATGGATTTGCCTTGCTTTTTAAAAAAACTGATTTTATTTTTTAGAGCAGTTTTAGGTTCACGGAACAATTGATTAGAAGGTACAGAGATTCCTCATCTACTCTCTGCTCCATGTATGTATAGCCTCCTCCATTATCTGCCTTTCTCACCAACGTGGCACATTAGTTAAAATTGATGAAGCTACATTAAAATATTATTATCACCCAGAATCAATAGTTTATATTACAGTTCACTTTTCGTGTTGTATATTCTGTGGATCTGGACAAATTTAAAATGACATGTATCCATCATACACAGTAGTTTCACTGCCCTAAAACTCTTCTGTGCTCTGCCTGTTCATCTCTCTTCCCTCCTAACCTCTGCCAACCGCTGATCTTTTTATTATCTCTGTAGTTTTACCTTTCCCAGGGTGTCATATAATTGGAATCATACAGTATATAGCCTTTTCATTGCCTTCTTTCACTTAGCAACATGCATTTCAGTTTCCTCCATGTCCTTTAATAGCTTGAGAGCTCATTTCTTTTTAGCAGTGAGTAATATTCCGCTGTCTGGATGTGCAATAGTTTCTTTATCTACGTACCTACTGAAGGGCCTCCTGGTTGCTTCCAAGTTTTGGCAATTATGAAATTAAGCTGTTAGTAACATCCGTATCCAGGTTTTTGTGTGGACGTACACTTTCTACTCCTTTTGTAGATACCAAGGAGCATGATTGTTGGATCATATGGTAAAAGTTTGTTTCATTTTATAAGAAACTTCCAAACTGTCTTCCAAAATGGCTGTATTACTTCCCATTCCCACCAGCATTAATGTAAATTCTTATTGTTCCACATCCTCACCAGCATTTAGTGTTGTCAGTGAGTTGGATTTGGGCCATTCCAAAAGGTAGGGAGTGGTATCTCATGGTTTTGATTTGCATTTCCCTAATGACTATGGTGTTGAGCACCTTTTCATATGTTTATTTGCCATCTGGATATCTTCTTTAGTGAGGTGTCTGTTAAAAAATTTGACCCATTTTAATATGGTTGTTTGTTTCCTTATTGTCAGGTTTTAAGATTTTGTCAATTTTGGTTTTTTTAAAATATTTTTATTTATTTCTAGGAGAGAGAGAGAGAGAGACAGCGTGAGTAGGGGAAGGTCAGAGAGAGAGGGAGACACAGACTCTGAAACAGGCTCCAGGCTCTGAGCTGGCAGTCAGCACAGAGCCCGACACGGGGCCCGAACCCACAAACCGCGAGATCATGACCTAAGTGAAAGTCGGACGCTTAACCAACTAAGCCACCCAGGCGCCCCAGATTTTGTGGACTTTGAATAATACTCATTAGTTGTGTCTTTTGTACATATTTTCTCCCAGTCTGTGGTTTGTCCTCTCATTCTGATTCTTTGCTTTTTAAATTTATTTTAATTTTTTGACTCTTTGCTTTTTAAAGTAAACTTAAGTCACTAATTTTCTTAGCAGCCTTAACTAGTAAGGTGGGAACTGCTGCCTATAAGAACAATTGAATCTAAGAGGAGGGTCCCTGAATGTATAGTGTGGCAATTAATATTCTAATGCCTTTTGCACAGAATTTACTGTCCTACTAATATTAGGTCACTAAGGTTCCCAGGCCTCTTCTAGCCCCAGGAGGTCTTAAGTAGTTTCCTTTCTTAAAACACTTATTTGAAAAATTTCTTCATGAGTCTCAAGTTTGGAAGTCAGAATTTACTTTATCGTAGAAGTAAGTTATAAGTGATGGTTGTATTTTCTGGGCAGCTCACAAATGGCTAGTTAGTTTAAACTTGTTTCAGTGTCAGTATACACCACGCTATATGGGGCCAAAGGCCTGGAATCAAACCCCACCTTGGCTGCTTACCCAGACGTTTGGGTTTGAACCTGCATCGAGCTCTGTGCTGACTGCTTGGAGCCTGGACCCTGTTTTGGATTCTGTGTCTCCCACTCTCTCTCTCTGCCCCTCCCCTGTTCGTTCTCTCTCTCTCTCTCTCTCTCTCTCTCTCTCTGTCTCAAAAGTAAATAAACATTAAAAACTTTTTAGACTGGAAGCTGAGCAAGTGTTTGATAAATGGTAACAGTAATAGTTCGTAGCAATGGCAGTTGCAACAACAGCTACTCAGTAAGTATTTATGGGATGAAGATCCGTAGGAGTGAAGAGAAGGAAGAAGAGAATGTTCTTCCTCTGCTCTGGGCACAATGCCAACCTCAAGTAAAATCAGAATGGGTGTAGTTTCTCTCCGGCATCTCCCTAGTCTTTCTCTCACATCTTTTCCTACCTAATAGTGCCCAGCTTCCCTCACTATGGACTCTGTGACTTCATATGGTTTTAATTCTCCCACAGTGTTCTCTCTCTGGTCTGTATACCCCAAAAGTGCTCCAAACTCCACAATTATCCTTTTTTATCCCCTAGTAGTCAAAACTGCTATTCCTTCAGAGCGGCCAATCTCAGCTAGCTTTTAAAGGACAAGGGTCTTACACATATTCACACTAATGTGTGTGAAAACCTATGATTCCTTAATGCTCCAAGAGATTTGCATTTTTCAAAACTGCAATGATTATCCGTTCAGTGGAATTATTAGTTGTGTATTAAAGTGAAATGAAAGGAAGATGCTTAGGAGCAGGATGGGGAGGGTTGGAGGGGTGCCAAGTAGCAAGCTGGCTTTGGGGTATCTTTCCTACAGAGTTTCTGATTTTCATCTTCCCACTACTAAACTTACAGCACCCGATGATTTAAGTTTTCCCCTAACCCTATCCCAATCAGCATCTGCTCATAATATTATCAAGAAAGACTCCCAGTTTGAAAAAAGAGTGGAAAATGGGCTAAGGGGCAGAGCTAGGTGCTTTATGTATAGTATCGATCTTGAGAAAATAGGGACAGAAATTTATTATTGCTGGAAGACAATTCTTCATGAGTGCCTCACATTTCCATACATCTTGTGAGCAGAGGCAATGGCTGCTCTTGTTCTACAAGAAACAAGCCAGCGTTTCTTGAAAACAGCCTTGGAAGACAGAGATAGAGTCCTTCTTTGGGGCAAAGAGCAGGTTTGTTTACTGTCCAATATAACAAAGAGAATGCTCCCTTGAGGGCAAAGTTTATGTGGGCCTACTGATCATTATAAAAGATTCAGTTCCCTAAGTTCGGGTTCTTCTCTTGTAATGCAACCCACTATAGGAGAAGGTGTCATTTAACCCTCTCTTGTCACTCTGTGGGAACTGGGACTCAGGGAACTGGCATAAATGCTGACGCTCTGGCTACTGTTATTACCGTGAGTTATAAACCATCCTTTGTCCCTGGTCCTGGAGATTTGTGCCTTCTGCCAGCATCCATGAAGTGTGACTAACATGATGCATGTTAGCTTGCAAATAGTGTAAAATCTCAGATGCTACATAGTTCTTGACAATTGTTACACTTACAGATGAAAAAATTCACCCTGTCCCCAGGGGGGAAAACTGTTCCTTTTTTGTTTTCAACTGAAATATAGTTGACACACAATGTTCTATCAGTTTCAGATGTACAACATAGGATTCAACAAGACTACGTGTTGTGCTATGCTCACCACAATCCAAGAATAAATTAGGTTCTTAAAGGGATTGTAATATCTTTCCCATGGGACTAAATGCATCATTAATTAATTTTTGTATGCCCACTCTTTTACATATTTGCTAATATTATTTTTTAAGTGAAATGAGGACCAGAGGAAATCAATCCTCTCTACTTAATAAGATACAGAGTCGATGAGTGCTTACAGTTTTGTACTGACAATCCAAGGAGTGGCTTGAGGCCAGCAGTGCCCCTTGAGGCTCTGAGTGCTGTTGTGTTTTGAGATCGGAGGGAAAGCGAGGGTGCATGTCTAGCTTTCATTTCCTCGACCTCTGTCTGTGTGTACATACAGAAATCAAATCTGCACAGCCTCTGTTTTTGGCAAGAATAAGAACGACTCCACTGAATCCTAATCCCTATGATCCCAGCCCACCTCCTTCCAAAACCTATTTAAAGACATGTTGCTCAAAGTTATATTTGTCCTTCATTGCAGGAGGAAGAAAGTACTGATGACTTGCAAATGGGAAACTGGCAGAGGTGCGTCCTATAAGTCACCTGTCAGAAAGGGAGTTTGAAAAATAGAGACGTTCCATCTTTCTTTCTAGTCATAGTATTCTCACCTTCAGTAAAATGAGCTAATTTGTTTCTTATTTATATTATTCCTATGCAGGGTGAATTCTTAGGACAAATTAAAAATGGTCATACAAACTAAAGTGTAATTTTCTTTCCTTTTGCCACTCCTATAGCCCTTCTATGTCAAATTTATTCTGTGCTTCACACACGTCTCTTAGAGGTGGCAAATGCAATCCTATTCTGAAGTCTGCATTGTTCAGTAAGAGACTTAAGGGAAAGCTGTTAGTATCCACATACCAGTTTACTGTCCTGCATTTGAAAGCACAGGGATCTACTCCTCACCAATGGATGAAAGGAGACTTGACTTGCTGACACCCCAGGTCTGAGTGACACTCCAGGTACCGAGTCAGGGAGGGTGAATTGAGCCCTGCTTAGACACTCTGAATATATAAAGTTAGTGTTTCCCCATTGCTTTAAGTCATGCCCTTCTAGCCCCCAATTTCCTATCCCTAATCTTGAAATGTAATTCCTCTATCCTTTAACTCTTAACTTTAGGCCAAATTGTTAAGAGAAAGGAAAGCAAAGAGAAATAGGAGAGAAGAAAAAGTTTTCTGCTTCTCCATATATATATTCATCTGGAATAAATTATCTTTTCTTATTAAAAAGTTTTTTTAATGTTTATTTATTTTTGAGAGAGAGAGAGAGCATAACACAAGCAGAGGAGGGACAGAGATAGAGAGAGACACAGAATCTGAAGCAGGCTCCAGGCTCTGAGCTGTTAGTACAGAACCCAACCCGGGGCTCAAACCCATGAGCCGTGAGGTCATGTCCTGAGTGGAAGTCAGATGCTCAACTGACTGAGCCACCCAAGCACCCTTGGAGTAAATTATCTTGAAAGTATGTACGGATGCTCAATGGTCTCATTTTAATGCAAATTTTGATTTAAAATAAAAATTATAAGGTATTCATTCACACAGTAACATAAAAATATGTAACTCAATTAATAATACTTTTGATACAACATTATAATCATTATAATGTCTTTAAGGATTTTAAGGATAAAGGAAAGGAATGGGATTACATTGTCTAGAAAATCATATCTTAAAGGATTTGAAACATATCTTAAAGGACATCTGGTATGATTACCTTGTAATGCTTGAATCCCTCTTCACTGTTCTGACTAAATGATCATTCACATACATTGATATCTTTATCATGTATTAGTTTTTTAAAAATGTGATTCACTTCCCTCTACGGATTGTTTTTTAATGCAATAAATCCTTTCTTAGAAAAGGTTGTTGATGCAAGAGAAAAAAATTATTGATGTGGCCTATACCTTAATCAATGAGTCAAGTCTGTGAGTAACTGCTCTTATAAAGGAGGTTGTCATATCCCTTAGCAATGGAATAAGTATTCAAAGGGGGACATTAAGTAATATCTCCGAGGCTTCCTGGGAAGCATCAATGTCCAATGCCACTTAATATTTACAAGGACTGGAAAAGTCCAACTGTATATATACAAATAAAATTCAGTAAACAATTGGGTCCTCTTTGAAAGTTTGCACTTTTTAAATTCAAGCCTTGGGTATCACCCAGTCAGAACTTCTGTTATAATTGTGAGTTGGAGATAGGAATGGAGAGCAATTAATAAGGATCTGCATTATTGTAAACCGAAAACAAAACAAGTTGTATATTTTAGCATACAATAGATTTAGGCTTGACTACAAAACAAAATTGTCTAAAATATAATTTGAAAGTGGAAGAAGCTTTAAATTTTGGCTTCAATGTGATTTATGCTGGAAAGGGAGCTCTGTCCAGGGACATTGTTGGCACGCTGTGAAGTGACGCTTGAAGCAGAGGCCAAGCACAGGAATGGAAGAGTTGGTATCCACATCACACAAACAATTCCTGCACGCAAAACTATTTCTCATTAAAGCTTTACATTAGTATTAGCTACTGAACAACCAAAAGGAGTCATTTCTTTAGGATGTTTTATTTTGTGAGAATTTTTTCCCCTACTCAACTGTTTAGCTAGGAGCTTAAAGTGCTGAAATCCCAAAGGGAGAAAGAGGCCTCTCACACATCAGGAAGGCATGGCAGTCTCCCAAGCCATAAATGGCTTCAATTTTCATGTAAAATCAGCTTAGCAAATCACAGGTGGATTTTTACCAAAAATGCAAGGAGGGGCCTATGCCACCAATAATACTTACTTAAAATATTCAGCTTATCCATGGCTAGAAACATTATGTGTACTGTAGCCAAATACATTAAAACATCAACAAAGACACTTTTGTAGATAATTTGGCAAAAGCCCAACATCCACAAATGAATTGATTTCAAGAGGAATAATAAAATGGGCACGAGAGGCCATTAAGGATTTATATCTATCAGAATTGTTCAGGGAGAAAAACCAGATAGTTTAATTAGAATGACTTTTTGGAAGAACATATAAGAAGGTCTTACTCATGTGTTTAGATCTTTTTCAGAAGCTCCTTTCATATAAATGCAAAATATAAAATTGAGTACAAAGCAGGAAAAAAATCACAGTTCCCAAGGAAATTAAAAATCCCATGATATTAATATGGCCATGAATAAAATGATCTTAAATACAGGAAATATGAAACTGGTGGATCATATGAGAGAGACAGTCGTGATCAGAGTCCCAGGATCTCAAATCACCAGGAGCAGTAGCAGCAGCAGTTTTTTCTATTGTTCTTTTCTGTTTAGTGTGGAGTGAGCATCTGTGGGATGACGTGCTGGAAACCATTTGCATAGAACGGTGAGATCTCCACCACTTAAAACCCTTCAAAGTCTTCTCATTGCTGCCAGATAATATCCTTTACTTAACACATAAGATCTTTGATGACGTGGCCCTTCCATCTTTATTCCTGCTACCTTTCTTTTGAGACTTTGTATATGTCACCTCTGCCTAGAACACATTCATTCAATAACAGTTATTGAGTACCAACTATATGCCCTTTCCTAAATGTCTTCCTGGCAAACTCTTCATCCTTTAAGACTCAAAAATATCCACCTCTTGAAAGTGTCCTTCCTCAAGGCAAGTTAATCATTATCCCTTTATCCTTTTAAATAATGACACCACTGTACCTTATACACAACCTGGTGTAGACTGGAACTGTACAGCAATATTTTTTTAAGTGAGTAAATTAAAAAAAAAGAAAAGAAAAAACCCAACAAACTATATAAGTGAAAATATTCCAATTATTAGAAGTTTTAAAAACTTGAAGTAGTCAAAGTAAGAACTAAAAATTCTTTTGTCTTTTACCTCCTTCAATCCTATTCTGCTCAAAAGTAACTGCTGTTAGGAGTTGGGAACATATTGGGACTCCTGGTTGGCTCTGCTGGTTAAACGTCCGACTTCAGCTCGGGTTATGATCTCACGGCTCATGAGTTCAAGCCCCATATAGGGGCTGTGCTGTGCTGACAGCTCAGAGCCTGGAGCCTGCTTTGGATTCTAGGTCTCCCTCTCTCTCTGCCCCTCCCTAGCTCAGGCTCTGTCTCTCTCTCCTTCAAAAATAAATAAACATAGGGGCGCCTGGGTGGCTTAGTCGGTTAAGCATCCGACTTTCGCTTAAGTCATGATCTCGCGGTTCGTGGGTTCGAGCCCCGCGTCGGGCTCTGTGCTGACAGCCAGCTAAGAGCCTAGAGCCTGTTTCAGTTTGTGACTCCCTCTCTCTGACCCTCCCTTGCTCACGCTCTCTCTCTCTCTCTCTCTCCTAGAAATAAATAAAACTTTAAAAAATAAATAAATAAATAAACATAAAAGAGTTGGGGGCATATTGTTGTAGATTTTCTTCTATATATTTATATATCTGGTAGGCAGTTTCATGCATTTAAAAGCACAGACCCTGCACCCAGGGTGTTTGGGGGCAAAATTCAAGCTCTACCCCTTAATATTTTCAGAGGTTTTGGGCAAATTCCTTATTTTTTCTGGGTCTCGGTTTCCTTATCCATAAAATAGCAATTATAGTAATGGTATATAACTGATTGAGTTAATACATAAAACACCTAGAGCAGTGCCCTGCACATTGTAAATTCTTTTGAAGTAGTTGCCTCAAAGGCTATATAAGCAAAGGTTTTTATGTTGTTTTTTAAAATGTGTAAGTGAATTGTAGTATAGCTACTGTTCTGCAACTTTTAATTTTTGCTTAACAATCTACCTTATTTTACAATATCCATATACTATGTTTAACCATTTATCATTTATTTACTTTTTTTAAAGAGAAACAGAGTGAGAGTGGGTGAAGGGCAGAGAGAGAGGGAGACACAGAATCTTTTTTTTTTTTTTAAGAGCAAGAGAGAATGAGAGAGAGAGAGTGAGAGAGAGCGAGCGAGTAGGGGAGGGTCAGAGAGAGGGAGACACAGAATCTGAAACGGGCTCCAGGCTCTGAGCTAGCTGTCGGCACAGAGGCCGATGCGGGACCGGAACCCACAAACCGTGAGATCATGACCTGAGCCAAAGTCGGACGCTTAACCGACTGAACCATCCAGGCGCCCCAGGAGATACAGAATCTGAAGCAGGCTCCAGGCTCTGAGCTGTCAGCACAGAGCCCATCGCTGGACTGAACTCATTCATGAAGTGCGAGATCACAATCTAAGCCAAAGATGGACTGAACTACTGAACCAAGTGAACCACCCAGGTGCCTGCCCTTTCATCATATAATTTGCTTCTGAATTGTCACCACATGAGAGTATTTTGAGGCAAACGCCTAAAATTATATACACTTTATGTTTATTTAGATACTGAGAAATTGCCCTGTAAGGAGAATGTAGTTGTTTAAATTCCCAGCAGTAGTCCTGAGCAGCAGAGGTCAAGAGTGAATCTGGTACACATTGAATCAGATAGATCTCCCTGGGCACACCCTCCTTCACAGGTGTCAAGAAGCCTCTGAGATAGCACTTCTCCGCCTCCTTATCTGTAACTGCTGAGGGCATGAAGGAGCCCTGTAGCAGTTACAGCCTGCCCAGGCCTCTACTGTCTGCCTTGAGTCTACCGGGACTGTCTTCACCATGCCTTTTATCTACACATTTACATCACTCACCAAGGAGCCCTCGGCTGCAGGGCACCTTCCTCTCCCATCAGCCCTGCCCATTT